TTGGCAGCGCATCCAAGACCATTTCTTTTTTGCAGCGTTCCACCCACTCAGGGACTACTGCCTGGAGGTGAGGGGAGCGGCATCCGCAGATTCTCCTGTGTCGTTAACCTTCGTGTGTCCTTCCCGCGGTCGCTGCCGGTCACGGTCCGGCCGGCTTTTCCCCTTGCTTGCAAACTGCAGCTTAACACCGTGCAGCGCTGTTTAACTCTGTCACTTTCCGCAGACGACGTGCTAGTCGTCTTCACTTTCTCAGGCAGTGTCAGGCTCATAAACACTGGAAGGGGGTATTTAACTCCAAACAGAAATCTGTTCCGTCCGACGTGAAAAGGACACGAGGGAGAAATGCTGTGCAGGTGAGGTTTTGTCGTAATGAGGCCCATCGTTAACGACAGAACAACAAAAAAATCGATTCTTTGTGTTAATTGCCTTTTCTAGGTCCTGAGTGACTAAAATTGTATAGCAAATGACCCATCACCTCACCGTGGGTTGTAACCAAATGTGCTTATGTAATTTTAAGAACCATGTTTATTACAACCAGCATGTAAATCAATCAATATGTAAATTTAAAAAATTTGTATAAATTGCATTTTCTTCCTCTTTCACAATCATTATAACGTTGTGCCTTGGAACTAAAGCATTTAACCTAGTTCTTTACAGAACGTGGAAGTATCAGTAACGTCGGCTACTGTGCGCAAGCACATTTTTTGGACGGATTACTAATAAGCTGGTCTTTAAAAAACACAGACCTATGTATTGCGAGATATTCATTACGGAACATTAACGTGCACTTTGTCACTTCACTGCAGAAGGTGCTTAGGATTTTCCACATATTTTAACGTGCTCTGTTCTGTGTCCTTTGGCGCCCAGGTGCTTTGCCATCTTTCCGAAGGGATCTTAGTGACTCTCGTGTTAAGTCAGCCTTTCCGTTCGGTTCTCCAGCAGGAGTGAGTCCCGGCTTTCCTTTCCCCCAGCTCTGCCTTTGGCTGCCTCACTCTGTGTTCCGTATTTTATTTCCACGAGTGACAGGAACCACAGCTGTGTCCGAATGAAATAATGGCACACACGAACGCTGCCTCTCTATACCTTTGTACCTGTGTTTGCACCTACATAATACCTAGTTGCGATCATTTTGCCAGTTTAAATTTACACAAATGTTGGCATGAAGAAAATCATACTCATTTTAAAGATTTCATGACGACTTGCATGTTGTTTATTGTTCCATTTTTTAATTGCCTGTTACTCGCACTAATGCTTTTCATGTGCCTTTCGCCTTTGACGATTTTCTGGTTCTCAGTTTTCGTGGGCAAGAGAAGGAGAGGATCCTGTCTGTCACGAGTGAACAGTTACTGTCCATAGTGCAGTTGACAGAACACTGCCCCCTGCTGTCTGAACCCGATTTTTTTCACACTTTACAGTGAGGAAGTTGAAGGCAACAGGAAAGGCTAAATAAATGGCTTGTTGTGGCTCAGACACGGTCAAGGCAAGACTTAGGTTGCACATTTGTCTAATGGTAGTAGAAGTGAAGATCTGGCATCGAAAGAGCTCGAACTCGCTTGCTTGTGGAGAAGGGGGCGATCAGTAAATAGCCTTTTTCCAAATGCTGTCCAGCAGCACTATGGACTAATTTCAAACACGTTTTGCTTTTATTAAGAGCACAGTGGCTTTTTACATCCACTTAGGATGCCAGAGCGGAAGGTCTGCCAGCATCAGGATGTCCTAAGCTAATCCCCTGACTCCATAGGAAAGACGACAAGCTTTTACGGACAGCTGCTACAGGACAGAAGTGAAAGTCTGTATTTTGATCAGATATGATCATTTGGGAGGACACATTAGTAATAAGGTGTGCTTTAAACGTGTTGTCATGTATTTCTTAGTTGCTTTTAAGGGAAAACACTTAGATTTTATAATTTTCTTTCCAGACCATATTTTACATCCTTCCGCGCCTCTCCGGCCTCGTTGAGGACGAGTGGATCGCCACCGACAAGTTCGCCCGGTTCACCGACATCCCTTCAGACTCGGCGTTTCAGTGGTACCTATCTCCGGCCCAGCTGCGCCAAGTGAACCCAGGCGACTGGGCTCAGCAGGACGCAGGTACGGGAATCCGTTTGATCATCTGCCCACTGTCGCCTTGGTTAGGCTTATTGATTTAAGTTACTGAAAACAGGCAGTTGATGATGTCGCTTTTTCACAGATGTGGTGAAACTCTGCTGCTCCACTTAGACAGTGAAAACTAGTTTTAGTTGAAAGTTTGCTCGATAAGCCAAAGAGCCTGCTCTGCTCTGTTAAGATTCACTGCCTTCCACTATATACTTCCGTAAAAATTCGGGTTTTGAAAAGGGCTGGATGACACACTGTGTTGTTCCACATAGGAGTAGAGCAGCTCTGCACCCTGCTCCGCCCCCATCTGCGGCCTCTCCCGGCTCCCTCTGCACCCCTGCTGCTCACCCCCCTCCCCTCCGCTTCCCTCCCCAGCCTCCCCGCCCTTAGAAAACGAGGATTAAGTCCCCCGCCCATTTAAAAATCACAGCCACCGCACGGGTCACTGACCCTCAGGTCTTCATCTCGAGCCTGCTGGACGCCCCCGCTCTTTAAACCCAGCAGACACATCGAGCCGACCTGTGGGCCACACTTGCCTCCGCTCCGCTCGGGGCGTCCCTGTCACAGAAGGCATTCTTCTCCTGTCTTCTCTCTTGCCACGTCCGTCCACGAGCAAATCTGGCTGCTGCTCACTGTGGCCTGTCTCGCACCGACGCGATCAGAACCGGCTTCGTTCTCCCCGGACCAGTGCAGGAGCCTCAGTGGTTTTCCAGCCCCACCGGCCCTCTGCGTTTCTCCTTAAGGGGGTGGAGGGGCGGTCCCAAAACACAGGACCCGTTCCGTTACCCTGGAAGGCCCTTTCCGTACAGGCGGTCGTCATTCTAGAGTCCTGACCTGGTCGAGCCCCCACCACCGTCCATCGTGCGCTGAGAGCCACATCAGCACACTGCCCGCCCCCTCACCCCCCGCCCGGCAGCCTCCCCTGCCGCCTGGGTCTCCCTCCCTGGCCCTGGCTCCCACTCCTGGCCAGTCGGCGAGCCTCCCTGCCGTGCGACGGCTGTCAGGTCTCCCGGGTGCTGACGACAGTTCGGAGTAGGGCCGAGCTGAGGGAGAGCCTGGGGGCTGCTGTCTGTCCCGTACCTGCTCAGACAGCTGGCGACAGACGTGCTGTGTCCTCGTCCGGTTAGGGAGGAGGGTGTCCCTCACTTCAGATGGTCCCCAAGTACTTGTAAAATAACCTAAGCTGAAGACTATATTGTTTTCGGGAATATATTTCTGTAGAAAATTCTAATCTAGTTCACTAGTGTTTATAAGATACTCCTGTATTTTATGTATGTCTAAGAAAAATGCTAGCGAACTATGACACCCTAAGATGCTTCCCAGATTTGGGTATGCTAAAATATAAAAAAAGGGTCTCACACTTTCATGAAGTATTGTCGTATATTGTTTAGTAGAGTTGAATTTGAAAACAAAATCATTATTGAAAATGGCAATCGTGTCTGAATCCAAAGCTCTTTAGTTGATGCTCATTCTACACTATCATTTTAAACTCATGCGCGTGCACACACGGTGAGAGGTCGACTGGCTTATACACGAATCGTCTTTTCCTTCTCAGGTTCTGACCCGGGGGAAGCAGATAACCAGTCCACGTGCGGTGACGTGCAGAAGAAGGTCATCCCGTGGAAGGACGCCGTGCCCGAGGTGGACCTGGAGCCCGCACTCCGGGGCCGAGGCGCCGCACTGGGCAGGCCCGACGGCGGGCTGATCGTCGTGGCCTCGCTCATTGACAAAGCAGCCAACTTGGGAGGTACAGCTGCAGGACCCCCGGGGCTGGCGTCACAGCTTTCGGTTCTGAAAGCGCCATGCAGCCCGCTGCCAGCCGGAGCTGTGTCCGCTCCACACGTGGCCACCTTCGGGATCTCCGGAGGAAGGTGACGGACGTGACACGCCTGGCCTGTACTGGGGACAGTGACACAGTGATCCCGGCTTGTTCTGTGCAGGGCTGTGCCGGACCTGCGAGGTGTTCGGGGCCTCGGCGCTCGTCCTCGCCAACCCCCAGTGTGTCAACGACAGGCAGTTCCAGCACCTCAGTGTCTCCGCCGAGCAGTGGCTCCCTCTGGTGGAGGTGGGTGTGAAGTACTTGAGTGTCAACATTTTATTTGCTAAAATCTCACGTCCTCAGCCCTTTGGCAGTTACAGGAGCCCAGCCTTTAACAGTGTAAAAATGGCACCTGGGGAGATGCTGCCCACCTCTTCCCCTGTTCTTTTACCTTTCACAGGGTTGTTTTTAGAACTCGTCAGTAATGTAGAATTCTTTCCAGCAAAATGCGTCCTGCTCCAACTCACTACTGACGTCAGAATAGTTCTCGTAAATTTCTATGATGTTGGGGAGTTCTTGTTTATAGTGTGTGATTCTGTCCTTTTTTAAAGACTTTTAAACAAGCTTAGTTTAGTAAGTTTTTTTTTTTTTTTAACTTTTTACTCCAAGCAGGCCTGTAACTGAATGACTTACTATTCTGTTCTTTTAAAACGAACACAAAGGTGAAACCACCTCAGCTGACCGATTACCTGCAGCAGAAAAAGGCGGAGGGCTACTCCATCATCGGTGTGGAGCAGACGGCCAGAAGCGTGGCGCTAACACAGTACCGCTTTCCCGAGAAGTCGCTGCTGCTGCTGGGGTAGGGAGAGTCTCCGCGGTTGTTCCCAGTCTAGAAAACGTTTCAGAAATGTCACAACGTACCTAGACTCCTAATGTTACACCTGCACTTGACCTTTGACTTACAAGGTTTATGGGGAGACCCCCTCATGTTCATTTTATTTACCTGTTATTCTGTCTCTTCCAATAAAAAAAATTGCTCAGCGCAAAAATAACTAGCCTCTCCTGCCATTTTCCATCAGAAACGAACGTGAGGGGATTCCGGCCGCGCTGATCCAGCAGCTGGACGTCTGCGTGGAAATCCCGCAGCAGGGCGTTATCCGCTCCCTCAACGTGCACGTGAGTGGGGCGCTGCTGGTCTGGGAGTACACGCGACAGCGGCTGTGTGGCCGCCCCGGCCGGGAAGGCCCTGCCTCTTCTGACACGAGTCACTGGTGCCATTGAGACGTCTGTCAAAAAACTATTTGGACAAGCGAAATAGATTCTCAACTCTCTGCAGTTGTATTTTTTTCTTGCAATTTAATGCCAAAACTTTTTCATGTGCCTTAACTATTTTACTATGTGTTGTCTGTCCCCTTTAATAAACAGTTTTAGCTAAACTGTATCGTTTTGTGAGTAAAATATTTAAGCAGTTGTGGAAATGAACTGTACTTTGTTTTGAAAAGATCATTTCTTGCCTGGAAACCGGTGTTGTCGGGAACGTGGGCGTGCCACCTGAGGTCACTCAGTAGTTTCAGGCGTTTTATTGGCCCCTCACTTTTCCATTGAGACGACATCGCTGAAGAGGGTCAGCTTTATTTCTTCCTTCCCAATTTGTATGCTGTGTCTTGGTGAATGAGGAATCCCCTGCAGTGGGGAACAGGAGAGGTGAGAGAGGCCATCCTTACACTGTTACTGACTTTTGGGAAAAAGCATTCATTTTCTCATTCTGACACTTGCTGTAAGTTTTTGTAGATGGCATTTTCAGTTCTCCAGTCATTTCTGGGTGACTCCCATAATGGCAGTTCAGTGTCTGTCTGTATCACACCCATCCTCCAGCCAAAGAAAAAGTACACGTTTCTACAATCTACATTTTTTTTCTCAAAATACAGATTTCTTACTAAATTAAAACTAAGCATATTTCATACCTTTTTATTTCAATTCTTCATAGTCTGAATGAAATCTTGTTACTTGAATATTTTAAAATTTCTATATGCAGAACAAGTTCGATGTTTAACCATGACTCAAACTACTCCTGGAGTCGGAGGTTTCCACCTTGCTGAGAAGCTGGACAGCAGCCTAGGACTGTGTAGTCGGTTTCGAAGGCTGGAACTGTCCTGCTTCAAATTTTTCTTTGAATTTTAAGTAGTCTCTTCTTTTATCAAAATATTTTATCTGTTGAGAAAAGGTCTGAAATAAGGACAAGTTCTGCAGCTTAGGTAAAATCACAGATATAACAAATTACTCAGTATAAACTGAGTTAGTGGCATAAGCGGTTTATAGTCTAGAACTATTCTGAATCGGTGCATTTAATGTATAAAAGTCTCGAACGAGAGTGTAGGCCAATACCCTAATCCTTTTTGGGTTACAGATCCTGTTCAGAATTTAAGCTATGAACCTTCAAGGAATGTAACAGAAATCAAACAGGAAATCGAAACTTGAAACATGAAAACACGACTTTTCAAAATTCACCAAAAACAGTTCTAAGAGGGAAGTTCATAGCCCACCTCGGAAACAAGAAAAATTCCCTAAACACTAACTTTACAACTAAAAGAACTAGAAAAACAACAGAAGGAAGGAAATAAAATCAACATTATAAAAACAAGACCAAAGATCAATGAAACTACAAGCTGGTTCTTTACAAACTTTTAGCCAAACTCCTCAAGGAAAAAAAGAGCAAGTCCAGATAAACCACAGATGAAGGAGAAGTTACAACTGACACCACGTTCATGAGGCTGCGATCATACGCCAACACGATGGACAGCGTAGAAGAAATAACGGACGAAACAGAAAAACTACGAAGCCCAGTTGCAGCAATGAAATTGAAACGGTAATGAAATAATCAAAAAGGAACTTCCGAACCCCCGCGAAGCCCGCATGACCCCGATGCCAAACCCAGACATATAAAAAAAAACGATATGCCGACATTCCTGATGAACATAGATGCAAAAATCCTCAAAATATTAGCAAAACAGATTCAACAGTACATTAAAAGGACTATACACCACGACCAAGTGAGATTTATCCCACGAATGCAAGGACTGGCCACAAATCAATTTGACATATTAATAACACGGATAAAAATATGATCTCGACAGATGCAGAAAAAGCATCTGACGAATTCAACATCACTTAATAAATTCTCACAACAAAGTGGGTGTGGAGGGAAATAACATAAAAACCACACATGACAAAAGTGCAGCTAACGCAACAGTGAAAAGCCGAACTCTCTTCCTCGAGATCAGGACGAAGGCGGCGATGCCCACCCTCCCCGCTCCCGTCCCGATGCCCACCCTCCCCGCTCCCGTCCCGCACAGTATTGGAAGTCCAGCCACAGAAAAAAAACGTAAAACTGTCTGCAGATGACATACCATATCCAGAGAACCCTAAAGACTCCAGCAAAGAAACTATTAGGGCTAATAAATGAATTCAGTCAAGTTACAGGATACAAAATCAATATACAGAAATCTGTTGTGTTCCTACACGCCATTAATGAACCATCAGGAGAAATTAAGAAAAGCCCATTCGCGATTTCATCAAAAGGCATAAAATACCTAGAAATAAATTTAACCAAGGAGATCAAAGATGTCCTCTGAAAAACTAAAAGACACTGAAAAATGAAACTGAAGATGACAGAAATAATTAGGATTAATATTGTTAATAAAACGTCCTTACTGTGTAAAGCGATACACATATTCAATGCGATCCCTGTTACTATACCAATGGCATTATTCTCAGAACGAGAACTAATCCTAAAACTTATATGGAACCACAAAAGACGCTGAATAGCCCAAACAATCTTCAGAAAGAACAAAGTGGAAGGTATCACACTCCCTGATGTCAAACTATACTATAAAGATCAACGGGATAGAACAGCGCCCCAAAAATACACCCTTGCTCATGTGGTCAAGTCATCTACAACAGGTGAAGCGAGAACATACAACAGGGTAAAGACAGTCTCTTCAATAAGTGGTGCTGGGAAAACTGGACACTTTCTTACACCATATACAGCAATAAACTCAAAAAAATGTATTAAAGACATGTAAGAAATTTAATACCTGAACCTATAAAACTCCTTGAAGAAAGCAGGCAGTAAACCCGACGTCAGTCTTAGCTGTATATTTCTGGATGTTTCCTCAGTCGAGGGCAACAAAAGAAAAAATGAATGGGATGTCATCAAACTAAAAAGTTCTTGCACAGCGAAGGGAACCAACAAAACGAAGAGACCACCACTGAATGGGAGAAGATACTCCCCAGTGATACATCCGGTAAGGAGCTCCTACGACTTAACACCAAAACCCCAAACAAGCCAATTCACAGGCAGGAGATCTACACAGACATTTCTCCAAAGAGAGCATCTGCCAACAGACATGTGACAAGATGCGCAACATCACTGATCATCAGGAAAATGCAAACCAAAGCCACAACGAGATCGCCTCATCGCGCCTGTCAGAATGACTTATCAAGAATCAACAAGCAACGGGAGCTGGCGAGGGTGTGGCGAAGGGGACGCCTGTGCCCTGGTGCGGCTGCAGACCCATGCGGTCGCTATGGACAACAGTGTGCAGGTGCCTCGAAAGATTAAAGACAGAGCTGTCACATGACCCAGCAATTCCACTCTGAGTACTTGTCCAAAGAAAACTGAGAAGTTACATGCGTCCCTATGTTCGCTGCAGCGTAATTTACAGCGGCCAAGATCTGGAAGCAACCGGTATCCACCACCAAGTGACAGATATCCACATACGCCACGGAAGATCAGCCACAAAAAGAATGAGATCTTGCCGTTTGTGACAACATGAATGGACCTAGAGGGTATTGTGCTAAGTGAAGTCACACAAAGACAAATACTATATGTTTTCACTTAAATGTGGAATCTAAAAAACAAATTAACAAAATAGAAACAGACCCATAGATAGAGGACAAGCTGATGGCTGACAGGGGAGGGGTGGGGGATGGGTGACATAAAAGTAAGAAAAGGAAAGAACCTGTGTTCGGACACGTGAAGCTTAGTTCAGAGCTTTCAGATCGTGACGTCATGACTTAAGACAAGTGTTTCTCATCAACTGTAAGTTCGGTAAACTTTGTAATTCCTCGGCCATGATACTTTTATCAAGTTTATCTCATCCAGAAACATTTGAGACGGAGACACAGTTAAACATTGTATTTATGAACTATATGAGTCAGTAACATGGTAAAATTTCGGTAACTTAAAGATTTCCTTTTAGTATTTTTACGTCCTCCTCCCACCATGGGGAGTTTGAAGTCTCTGGTGAAGCAGAAAAAGCAGAGGTAGGAGATCAAGGCCAACCCCAAGGCCACTGGCGCCTGCGTCTGCCGGCTCCGCACGCGGGCCGAGCCAGAGCAGCAGGATCGACAGTCAGGACGGAAAACACTAGTCCTTCCGTTACAACCTTTCTTCGGATGTCACTTTTAAATACTTCCGTGGCGCCTAAGAATGTACAAACCTGCGCTGTCTCAAGCTGGTGTGAGGCGCAGGTAAAGCGGCCACACGGCTGGAGTTTCTCCAGGGACACAGGACAGCCGTGGGCTCCTCACAGACCCTCTGGGTGACTGCTGCTCCCACCCACAGAGAAACCGTGTTCCCTCCAGTCAGGCCTGAGCGACTCCGCTCTGAAGATCAGTAGGGCGAAGGCCCCTCGGCCTGCGGGCTCTGGGGCCCTGTCACAGCGGGGCGGCCCCGATCCCTCCGCCAGGTGCGGGGCTTTAATACGGGCTCCGGACCCGGATGCACAGCGTTTACCTTCCCCCCTCCCAGGAAACGGGGCCCAGGTCCCCTTCTCAGCCCAGAGCTGACACCGACCTGCTTCTCGCAGCCCCCCGGCTTTGCCACGAGCCCATCGGGGCCGCTTCCCTGAGCTCTGCCGCCCCCGAGGCCTCTGCTAGCTCCCTGCCCTGGCGGGTGACAGCCCGCAGCCCGTGTGTGCAGTCTCCCAGTGGGTGACAGCCACAGCCTGCATGTGCGGTCCCCCTGGCTGCAGCCGATGAGTCTGACCGGGGGCCACAGGGCTGACTGGGCGGGGATGGCCAGTACCTGTGAGGAGTGGACACCGTCCTTAACGTTTCTGCGGCAAGTCAGTAGGTCCCTGCACCTCCTGCCACATCTCCAGCCGCCTGGCGGACAGTTCCATGGACAGGTCCCGCTGCCCTTCCAGGTCCAGAATCTGGCGTCTCCCCAGCTGCCGCGTCTCTCTCCTCCCAGACACTCGGAGCCGTCAGACCGTCATCGTCTCACCGGGACCGTCGTAACGGCCCGCGCCAGCGTGCTCTGCCTTCCTGAGCCCGTCACGCTGCTGCCGAGCGTAACTGCTGAAACCCGCATCTGATCACCATGCCACTTGGTCGTTTAAAGACCTTTCGAGGTCAGCATCCAAACTCCTCAGTAGGACGAGGCCATTCGTGGCCTGATCTGCCCGCCTGTCTGTCCTCTGAATTTACCAGCGCCCCTGAGACACTCGCCAGGTGGCCACCCTGTCCCCCAGGTCTGCTCGCTTCCTGTGCCTCTGCTCCTCAGGCTTCGCCGTCGGTCACTAACAGCCGAGGATTGGACACGCGGCACTTTCTCTAAGAGGCTAGGGACTCCACAGCATCTCCCGAGCAGCTCGGAGGGCGTATGATGCCAGTGTCCTCTGAATCACTAACGAGACGCGGGGTAGGAGTCAATGTCAAAATTCAGAATTTGAGACATTTCAGAGGTTCCCAGGGAAGAGACATTTTCTGATACTGGGCTCAGATAGTTTGGGTGTCTGGCTGCTCTCTCTCTGGAGGACTGCTGGGTGCCACCAGAATGACAGGCAGGATCCCCACTCCCCCCTAAGCTATGAACCAACAGGGGACTTTAAGTGACTGCTGGACAAGTGAGGCTGCTGAGTGCTGTAACAGGGACACATGAAGTGCCACAGAGGAATTCGTTTGGTGACAGCGAGCTAGGAGTTGCTTGGCATATTTATCATGCAGCAGATCTGCATTTTCAGTGTTTTATGACAGCGGGATTCACCATAAGTCTCTACTTCTATCTTTATTTTCTGGCTGTGACTGTGGGCTCAGAGAGACCTACATTCAAACCCCGATCTACTACTCCACAGGCTGGCTGTGACCGGGAGCATGTGACCTCGCCTTCCCGAGTCTAATTCCCACGGCGCAAAGCAGGTGCGACAGCACCTCCCAAGGCCGGACGAAAACGAAAGCTCAGGAAAACAAACGTCTCCGCAGCGCACACTCAGGCGGCTTCCATTTCTCCTCCTCCCCCACCCCCCGCACACAGCTCTGGGAGCCGCGTCCAGCTTTAGTGCTGGGGCCGCGGCTAAGGCCAACAAGGCAGCACCTGAGGGGAGAGCCCAGGTGAGGGGCGCAAAGGGCCGAGGTGCGGGCTGAGGAGGACTTGGTTACGCATTAGGAACCGAGAAGAGAGTTCTGAGTGCAAAGTGGCTGTCGGCGTCAAGTGCCGCAGGCGTCAGGACGCTTTGCTCTACCCTGCGCCCCGCCCCCCCCCACCCGGGGGGCTGTCCCTTTCCCCAGCGCCACTCACAGCAACCTGGCGATTTCAGCAGGGTTGATCCTGCCAATACCCAGCCTCTCGGTCCCCCGCCCTCTCCAACGACCTGTCCTCCAGCTTCTCGACTCCTGGGCCCGGGCCTAGAGCTTGTCCTAACCAAGGGACGGCCCTCCCACAGTCCCGGTTCTGAGCGTCCCTTCTCCGACCTGCCTCTGCTCTTTCTCTGGGACCCTGATGCCAACGACCTGCTGATGCCACCAACTTTTCACCGACTGCCACCCCTCTCACGTCCTCACCCGCCTTCCTCCCACTCAAAGCTCTCCGGTGGCTTCCCGCATCACCCAGAGGAAGAGCCACCCTCCCTGGCCTCCCTCCCATCACCTCTGACCCTGACTTCTTTGCTCTCTCCCTGTTATCCCTTCACGCGCTGGACCTGGCCCACCCAGGGCCGCGTCATCCTGCTGCCCTGCGAACACGCCCAGCCTCAGGGGAACCACGTTCGCTGTTCGCCCAAACTCCGTCTTCCACCTGCTTCTTAAACCAGAAGTTACTCTCAATCTGATGGGAAAACCAGAGATGTATGGCATTGCCCGAATCATCATCTAATCCAGTCGCCCAGCTCCACATGTATCGGTTTTCAGCTATATGTCGAGGCAGACGTTTGAACTTCACAGTAATCCTACAGGATCGGCTGCCTCGTGCGGGTTTTACAGATGTCACCTAAAGTAACTGCTGGTCACTGTATTCATCACCAGCCGAGGTCTCCAGTGACAGCACTCTGCGTCACGCCCTTCCTGCTGTCTCCCTCAAGCCCCAGCCTCCTGACCCAAAAGCAGGAGGGGTGAGAACCCTAAGGCCGCTTGACCTCGAACATCTGTTCTCAAACTACGCCCTGCACTTTGGAGCAGCACGAGGCAGGGAGAAAGCACTGACAAATCAGGGCCGAGTCCCACAGCAGCCGGCGGCGCCAGACTTGGGATTTCCGTTCTGCCACCTGCCAACACCGAGCCAGTTATCCCCATGCACGGAGCCTCTGCTGCCGCCCCTGGAAGTGGACGCGACACGGGAGGAGCGACACACACTCACGGAATCACCGAGCTCCACCGCGCCAGCTTGTCTCCCAAGCCGTCCGCACCGAGGGCAGGCGACGGAACAGAAGCACCTGCCAGGGAGGCTCATGGGGCGGCTGGTGGCAGAATCTGACGTATGAACATTTTACTTTCTAAACTTTTCATTATATTTTGGGTATACGAGTATATGATTTTGGGTGGGCAACTTGAGTACCTTTTGATAGTAGCTCCAGGCCAGTGAACCTGCCAACTCTTGCCCAAGATGAAATATTACCCCTGAGGAAGATCCTGGAGAAGCCTACCGATTTAGTGGGTTGGAATTCTTTAGCTAGGCTCGTGTGTTTTATTTTTCAATGATTTTTAAAGTGTCGGGTGACATTTTCCAAAGGTCGGCCTTAGTACATAAGACCAGCCTGGGTGGCCAGTCAAGGTTTCCTCTGCTGCTCAGATTCTGTTGACCTGACACGCCTGAGACACTGCTAGATGTCATGGCCTGCCATCACTCACACCATAAGCTCTGTGTATTTTAACTGCAAACAGAAAAACTTCCAAGTGTGACTTACCCACTGTTGGGGGCAACTTGCTTCAAATGAGCGTCTTAACTTCTTGCACTGAGCGGCATCCTCTGTGTTCTCGTCTAAACACTTCCAGTATTCATCCCGGGCTCCCCAGCACACCTGCCTTTCTTTCATAGATGGGGCTGCCATCCTGCTGGGCTCAAGCTGTCGGCCCAAATGACATTGGACGTTAGCAAGGAAATAACACCGGTTCCCGCCAACCCCAGCTTTTCGAAATTATGCCTCGGGCTTTTGGGTGCAGCTGCAACCAATCAGCTCCGGATCGGCGGCACCAGGAGGGCAGCGGCCTGAGAAGCCTGGGGTCCCTAACCCGGGCCGCCGCGTCTCGGAAAGCCGGAGTCAGGGCCCCGCTCCCTCCCCGCGTCCCTGAGGGTCGCTCCCTCCTTCTCCGGGGCCGG